AAAACAGATTGTGTGTAGTTTCCGATAGATGTCACCGCAAATAACAGCTGTGACATCTGATGGAACATGAATTCTGCAAAAAAGCTTGACAAAATGATCAATTGACAAATATCGTCGAAACTGGAGCGTGCTGTTTCAAGCAGCTAGGACATCCGTCTTATGCTGGCTGTTAGTCGGACGGCCATTACACCCACCCGTTACTGCTACTGCGCATTTTCTAGTAGCACAACCGTTTGGCTACGACGTACTACCAACGTGACCAACTGATCCTGTTTGAGTTCGCGTACTAGAACGTCGCGGGACATCCGACGAGGGACCGGACGCTGAAGAAACCAGGTTAGATCTGTCCGAAACTTGCTCACATTAGTTTTATTTGATCTTGAATGGATATGCTAACATACATGAAATAGAAACGTGACGTCACAGTAGGAAACTGTTAGGTTTGCCTTAATTCAATAAATTTCGATTTCCCATGAATTTTAATTAATAAATCGCTAGCTCGATAAATTTAAGTTTAGTATGTTCGGGTTTCGTCAAATTAAATTGAATAAAATAAAAATTACTTCTAGTTTAGATTAGTTACTCCACACATCTTTTGCGTCACGTTATGTGTATATGTTTATATTTGTTAGATTGGTTTGGGTTTAAATAACTATTGCATATTTCCTTCCCCTTGGTTGAATTTAAAGAAATATTTTATTTTCGCGGTTTGAATTGGTGTTTTTAAATTTGAGTATCCTTATCTGATTGGTTGGCTTTAGACGTTTGGGTCAAAATAAGTAAGTTCGTTTGTGTCAACATCTGAGTGACCTGCCCTGAGAAGGGAAGTTTCTTGCCGGGTAATTAAGAACAAGTTGACGGTCCTTCTTTGAAAGGTGGTGCTTAAGCCGTCAGTGTAGCGTAACACGGAGAACGTTCCATTAAGACATTACAATAATACATCAGCGCATTGAACCATTGATAACTTTCGATCCTTGCATTTAATCAAAAAGTGGTCTTCAGCAGACCGATGACATGAACAAAAATCTTGGTTTTACCATTGTTATTCCCATACAAACTTCAAATGGTTTGTGCCATCTCAGTTTCTCACCAAATGGGTTCAAATTTTGAGAGGTTAGTCAGGATCCGATTTGGAATCGTTTAAGTATTCTGGAGCGAAAATTTAAAATTTTGCATCACTCTATTGGTCAATTGTTGGGCTTGAATGTGAGCTCCTGAAAGTTGACATCGGTGAGTTGGCAGGATAGGTTTAGCTCTCAGATACGACCCTGGTAGCCTAGCGCTTGAAATAGAATATTTATAGGCTTGGCGGAGAAGAAGTCCCGGTAGTAGTAGTTTTATCGGTTTTCGTTTACCATGTTTGATTCCACTTCGACGCATCTTTGACTGAGTCGATGTCTTTCGGGAGCATCTGGACCAGTTTCCTCTGATGATGCACGCTCGCTTTGTGTACTTACCACCGTCACCTGTGGTTCATCAAAGTCCTCATTATACTTCAATTCAGTAGAAGTTATTGTCCTGTCGGAAAATGGAAATGCCTCCCCCGGAGAACGTTCTCGCTCGAAGCTTCGATTCGGTCGCCAAGGCCGTTGCTTATTAGGTTCAGTGTAGTCCTTTTCCGATAGAATTTGGGAGCAACGAACCGATAGTCACGACAGTTAGGATCTGGGATAGGATTCCACTGCTTGTTGTTTTGTTTCTTCAAAACAAAACATGTGAAATGTCAAATTTACCATTATACAAACCAAAATTTCAGTCTGATGACACTCTCGGAACTGCCGGCACAGCTGCGCCACACGTGAGGCACAATGAGAAAAAATTTGGTGCAAAATACGTGTGTAGAGTGACCACCCCTTGTTACCCCCTTAAGTACTCATTAGTATGCTCGATGAAAGGTTGAACACGAACAAATCGCGAACAAACGCCGCCATTAAGGCATTTTTTGAGTAAAATTGCAAAATTTCACTGAATCAAGATAAGAGTGAATAGAATCACAGTAGGCATTGGTTGTCAGGATAAGTTCATTTGTTTACATCATGGCTTCACCGGAGCAAGGACGTCGCGATTCGATTCTACACGCTCGAAACGAAAATGCCAGTTCATCTGCTGCTGGCAGTTTTCCTGGAGTGGAATTGTATACCTCAGTTGACCATAAAGCTGGGTTTAGACAAGGCAAGTCAAATGATCAACTTAGTTGAATTCAATTGGCTTGAAAAGTTGAGCCTGGTTCAGCTTTTTTCAATTCAAGTGAGTTGATCAAGTCAGTTGAATGGCATGGTTTACACGATCAATTCGCGTTCAAGTCAGTTGAATTCAACTGACATGATCAATTGACTTGCCCTGTCTAAACCGAGCTTAAGAGTGCCCCGGAGGAATGTAAAATCAAAAAAAAAATTTACCCGTAGGAGTGCCTACGGAAATGGAGGCTACTGCCTTTTCTGGAGCAGCATGAGGTTGATCATCTATTCTGGCCGGACTTGGCAAGCTGCCACTACTCAAATTTCACCAACCAGTGGTACAGCGAAAATGGCGTCTCAAAGTTTCCCAACGAGATGAATCCGGCCAATACTCCGGAACTAAGGCCAATATAGAAATACTGGTCAATTGTGAAGCACATACTGAAGAAAAAGGGTGGAACTGCAATTGACCTGAAGGATTTCAAGCGGAAATGGAATTTGGCAGCCAAACAAGTGGAAACAGAGCTCGTGCAAAAGATGATGATACGAAGAAAAGTTCGAGCAATGGCCTATGGTAAGAAGGAAGACTGAAACAATTATTTTACAATAAGCATAATAATGGACAGCAGAGTAAAAGTAAAACACGTGTGTTATCTTCAACGGTTATATCACAAGTGAAAGAATTTATTTTCCCTTCATAATAACAGACAGTCATGGGTTGCTTCGATTTATTTCATCACTCCTTCTCAACCCATTGGTGTTTGAATTCCCATCTCTTCACGGCATGCAATCAATTTAACGTTGATATCTCTGGATATCTCTGGATCAACAATAGAAAAGGACCCATCAGCATTTGTAAACAAATCGTTCCAAAGCCCATTCCTTACAAATCGAAGGCAACCCACACAAACCATCACCATCATCGTGTAGAAGGAAGTTTCCCCTATCCGATGATGGTGCTGGTTTGCGTGGGTGGCCTTTGATTTGTGAGTAAAGGGCTTTGGAACGGTTTGTTTACAAATTTTGATGGGCCCTTTTCTATTGTTGATCCAGATCTCCTCTTTCCAAAGCATCGTGAATGAAATGGTGACGTATGTCAATATGTTTTGTACTCGGGTGGTATCTTCCGTTCTTGGCTACAGCTATGGCACTTTGGTTGTCGCAGTGGATCAAGATTTGCTTTTCGTCCTCGAACAAGCCTTACAATCGTTTCCACCAGAGCGCCTCCTGTACTGCAGCCGATAGCGCCATGTACTCGGCTTCGCAAGTTGAAAGAGCAACGGTTTGTTGTCGCTTGCAGCTCCATGATATAGCTCCTCCTTGAGCGGTGAACACGTACCCAGTGGTTGATTTTCATTTTTGCGGTACGCCAAACGACATTGCCAAGGCAAACAGATACCGCAAGGAACTATGACGGACAACCGGGGCGTAGGTGTCCTCGTAATCCACTCCCTTTCGTTGCAAGTATCCTTTCACGACCAGTCTCGCCTTGTATCGGTCGATGTTACCGCTAACGTTTAAAGGGCCAAATACTCCTTCTTCATGGCCTGTTTCCATCGTTCCGCATCGTCACAGGATAGTGCTTCCTGATGGATCGTTGAATCATCCAGGACTGACTGTTGAAAATCGGCACCAGCATCTGAACATTCAACAATATCATTCAAATACTTGCCTTGGGGCAGGCGCCCCCTATCGCAGAACATCAACCCTCCTTGCATTTCATCGCTAGTAGGTCTTTGATTTGAAGGCGACGGGGGCGCAGCGGTTTCCTCGGTAACGGATTAAGGCTGAATTGTATAACGCCTCCGATCATCTGAAAATTTCAAAGAAGGCAATCCTTTGGTCTCTAAACGATAATCTTTGTACTTGCCTGCGAGAAAGCGCTTCCCTACCACTTTGCCTCAACGCCTGTGACTGGGGCGGATTTGAAACTGTGCGCGGTGGGAGCGCAGGATCTGTCACGGTCAGCAGCATCCACAAAGGATTGATCACTTGAAGTCGTTTCTTCGTTGTCCGTCACGTCGTGTTCATCGATTTCCGGTACATCTGGGTTGGCTTCGACGTCTACCTCCGAAATCGACAAAGCTGCGCTCTGGACCGTTTGACTTCACTGCTACTACCACTTCATGCTCACTGGATCCCTCGTCAATGAAAATTACGTCACAACTTCTGAAGATTGTGGCTGTCTTCAGATTGTATAAGCGGTACGCTTTCGTTTCGTCATCGTACCCAGTCAACACGCACTGTTCAGCCTTTTGGTCCCACTTTTGCCGCTTTTGCTTCGGCACGTGCGCCATCACAGTCATACCAAAGATTCTAATGTGGGAAAGATTCGGCTTTCGTTTCGTCCACGCTTCCTCTGGTGTCGTATCAATACCCTTGGTTGGCGATCTATTGATGAGGTAGACTGCTGCAGCTACGGCTTCTGCCCAAAACGATTTTGGCAGCTTCGCTTCGTACATCATGCACCTCGCTCGCTCCACTACCGTTCGGTTGACACGCTCAGCAAGGGTCTTATATAGTCGGTTTTTTTCCTTGATTTGTTTTCCGTCGATCTTGTTTTCCGTGTTGAGCACCAATGCTACCGACGCCAGGAAGGCAGCTCCCACACCTAGACCCTACCTATCGACCCATCAACTCATGAACCGGGGACCAACGGCTTTACTTCCCTACCGAAGGAAGGCGTTATAACTCAGAACAGGCCGGCGGCACCGACTGGGATTGAACCCAGGCCTGCTGGGGTGAGAATTAATCACGCTTACCACTACACTATTATCGTCGGTTAACGACAAGTAATAACGGGCTCCTCCCAACGATATTTCTTCATTGGCCCGTGAACCAACGTGGTTGAATGGCAATCTCGTTTGCTTCCCGACGGCACAAATTTTTGAGTTTCGCTAAACTTCCAAAGCTCAGATGTCCCATCCACTGATGCCACAGCTTCGCCGTTATTCGGGGTGAGCACGCATACGCCTTAGAGCTCTTCTGCTCCAGCTTGTATAACTCATTGGAACGGCATCCGGTAGCAATAACCTTTCCGCTGGGATTCACCACCTCGAAACCAGTCTTTCTGAAAACAACAGTGTGATCTTGGTCAACTATCTTACATACTGACAGTAGGTTTACTGCCAGCTCCGGAATCAGCTCGACGTTTCGCACTTCTATCGCATCGGGGTTGCAGGTGGGCTGTAGCTTGGTAGATCCTTCCGCAACGATTTTCATCACGCCCTTGTTCGCCGCGTAGATACTACCATTCGCTTCACGTAGGTTCTCCAACAGTTGTTTGTTGTTGGTGAGATGCTTGGCAGAACCCGAATCAAAATACCAACTGTTGTCCGTTGCCGCGTCTTGCACTGACAAACCGGTGCAAAATGCGTCTCGTTTCCGATTCGATCCGCTTCGTTTCGATGGTTTTTGATCCCTGGTCCTGGTTTGACAATTCTTCGCAATGTGACCAAATTTCTCACACTGCCGGCATTTCGGTCCTTTGCCTTTCGAATCTGTGTTCGCGTTGCTTTGGTAACCATTTGAATTTTTGAAATAAATCGAAGCAACCCATGACTGTCTGTTACTACGAAGGGAAAATAAATTCATTCACTTGTGATTTAACCGTTCAAGATAACACACGCGTTTTATTTTTATTCTGCTGCCCATTACATAATGACTGTTACATTGAAATATGAAAATTAAAACGCATTTTTAAACCCAAACTTACTTAAGAGACCGTGTTTACCTCTGCATCTCTACGATTGTCATTGGAAGGATAGTTGTATTACTATGGGTCAGATTATTTCTGATCTGGATTCACTGTGGTAAGTGATGCGATCGAGTGAAACAGATTTGTTTATTTAAGGGGTTAGTCCACTCTGACGGCATGAAAAATAGGTAATTTTCACGATTTTTTTTTTTGAGCGTAAATAACGATCAATTCAAAAAAAAAATGCATGGTTTTGTCAATGGAAATGTCCTCTTTAATTGAGATTTTTTTTTTGGCGTGATTGGATGTCTCCTGTAGCCACTGCACCAGGTTCCCCAGGAGACCTCCCGTCTGAGTTGTCGCGTGTTGGTAACAGTGTTGGTTATTCTCTGATAGATGACCCAGTCTTGTACGTAGCCGTTTTTGATTTGGTTGAAAAATAAAAATTTGGCGACGTTTTGAAAAAAAAAACAGTCCGTTTTTGTACCCTAAAATTGGAGATAAAAGCTTGCACCAAAAATCCATTTTTGAATCTTTTGAAAATCGGCTACGTACAAGACTAGAAAAAAGGTACTTAACTCGAAAATTCAATCGCGTTTAAATCGAATGAGCCGTTTGTAAAATACAAATTTTTTACTGCGTATATTTTTTCCTAAAAAACGGCTTTTTTTTCTCTTCAATAAAGAATGATAGAGAAAAAAATCCTAAGACATTAACTCAGATGGCACTTCGATTGGATTCGTTGAAAAATATCTAAAACGCCATTCTGAAGTTTTTTGAGTGATTCAAAATGGAAAAAAAACTTTAACTCAAAGCACATAACATATGTGGAACTTCATGCAAAACTACTGACTAAAAATTGACCTCTTTTTGTGTTTCCTCAGTGGTATAATTGGTATAGTTGGACATCGATCTGTCAAAATTAAATTTTCGTGATTCGACACTGGGTCTATGGGCCAATGTCGGAAACGTAAGCAATGCCCAACAAACATTGAAAGTTGAATAAGAGCTTATTCAGGCAAAAATAAGCTTCTTCAGCTAAAAAATAGCTTATTCAGCTGTTGATCAACTCAAATTGTTTGTTGGGTGGCTTCTTTCGTTAATATCTTGTAATTCAAAGTCAATCAATGTAACCCTGCAATTCTATCAGCTATGGGGACTTTCCCTATACACAAGCATCGTGGTGACTTACTTGAGCGAGTTTTCATTCGCAAGAAATTCGTGGAAAAGTCAGTGTTTACGCTTGTGAAATTGAACCTTATGAAAGAAAATCATCTATTTGTTAGCATGCTCTGTTCACGCTATTTGAAAACTACCCAAATTTTGTAAAATCCGCCTTGATCGGTCAAAACTAAATCTATCAAAAATGGGTCAGCTATGTTGGGAGTGACAGGTTAATGATTGAACAACGTCGGTCGGATCCATGATAATGTTGCTCATGTGTCAGTTTGTCACTCCCAACATAGTTTACCCATTTTTGAGTAGGTTCAGTTGTGATCGATCTATTCTACCCAAATTTGAGCAGTTTTGAAATAACGTGTAAGTATTGACGTTGACGGTGGCTTTTTAACTCTTTACTCCTATGGTAAAATCCCAAAGTCTAGCGGATTTTGTCTTATCTCTTCATTCCACCATGGTACCAGCGAGCCACCGTCTCTTCATGCAACGATTAAAAGCATCCTATGAGATTTTTCACTGGAGTGAAAGGGTAAGGTAATGTCTAACATGTTTCTCGCACAGACTGACGTTTGCTTATGGGATTTTACCATAGAAGTAAAGAGTTACAGAGTGACCGAAAAGGCTAATTGTCAAGGTAATGCGGCCATCTTTTATAGACTAGCTCTAGAGAACAGATCAAAAGATTTTAAAACATTCAATTTTACGCAATTGAGAAACATAGAAAGGGTTGAAACCTTGGGTATTAAAGGTATCGATAAACGCTCGATTTCATTTGTCATCCTTCTTGCAAAATTCTTGTGAATGGAAAGATGCAAGGTAAGCTCAAAACACAGCATATTTTCCACAATATTAAGAGATTTATGTCTGTTTTACGTAGGGGAATTTACGTATTCTCGGCAACCTAAGCAGCGACCTTCTTTCTATAGCCTTTTTCTCTAAGGAACGCACACATATGCAGTATTGGTTTGTTTACAATCTTTTGCTGCCAGCTGCTCTAACAATTTCAGTGGAAAGAATTGTCAAAAACTGCTTTGAAACGCTTTTATAAAGCTCCAATCTTCTCTAGTGAGAGCGAGTATTGTCGGCAACCAGTTTTTCTTCGGCAACCGTTCCATTTGAACTGCATGTAAATCTGCTGTTCTATTATCAGCAACTCGAAATCAGCTACAATTTGTAGTGCGTGTGTTTCATTTCAAGAAAACCCTGCTAGATTGCTTTTTCTCAGTGGTAAAAATATAGTCAAATTGAAGCTGAAAGCATAAAGAATCGTTTGCATGCATTCAGCGAAGTGTTTTCGTAAGAAAATCCAGTGAAAATAGTGTTTCAATTTGGGTTGCCAAAAATAGTCTGTCATGCCGAAGCCGGCATTTTCCATATTTATTCCAAGAAGAAGAAGTTCCACTACAGCTATCAAATGAACAAGGCTTCAAAGAATCGCCCGCAAATATAATTCAATTTATCAATTCACACTTTGTTTTTTTTTTCAGTATTCTGCTCTTTTTTAAGCTGGCGGTAGAACTTTGACAGCTTCTTAAGATTTGCAATACTTATATATATAAACCAGTACATTGTTGCAAGATGTTGCTGCTTTAAACTGTATGCATCAAAGTCCAAATGTGTGTGGTCGTATTTTTGCTCCTACGTTATGAAATGAAATCAAAGGTTTTGCAAATGCATTGCAAAATTATGTTAAAAAAATGGTGCATACATTTGTTATCTAAATAACGGCGCCGGTGGTGTAGTGGTAAGCGTGATTACCTCTCACCCCAGCAGGCCTGTCGGCGCTGCCGGGATGTTCTGAGGCATAACATCTCTGATCACGCCTTCCTTCGGATGGGAAGTAAAGCCGTTGGTCCCCGGCTCATGAGTTGATGAGTCGATAGGTAGGGTCCAGGTGTGGGAGCTGCCTTCCTGGCACGTCGGTAGCATTGGTGCTCAGCACGGAAAACAAGATCGACGGAAAAAACAAACCAAAGGAAGAAAAAAAAAAATTGTTATCCAAATTTATCATAGAGAATGAAAATGGAAAAAATAACCCACGCAAATTTAAAGAAATAAACAAGCATTTGCTTGGAATTTCTCCAATTTTTGGTCATAATTACAGAAAAGCAACACACATCGCTTTCAAAATTGAGTTGTAAACAATTAACACATGGCAGCTTATTACGTTTTTTAGGCGGCAGGTCATCGCTAAAAACATCTTCAAAAAATGTATCCTTTTTTATGCAAACGATAATTTATAATTATAAATGAAGAACGATAGCTATATAATTATAAATAAATAACGGAAATTATTATTATTTTAAACCACGTTAGAAATATTTTATTAGAATTGACTACCTACTACCTTGATCTCATTTCTCAATTTACAGCTGGTATAATAAGTTTGACAGATCGATGTCCTACTATACCACTGGAAATCACTGAAATGGGGTCAACTTTTTATTGACATGCAAAGTTTCATGCAAATCGGAAATGAGGCTGAAATCCAATCTTTTGTTTTGCATTTTGGCCTGGAATTGCTCACACATATATTCACTTCCTTTGGTTGACCATTTTACCCCATCCTCCACTCCTATCTGATATAGCCATGCCCATGAAGAATGTGCACTGCCATCTTAACCTGGCCACCTCAAACCCCATCCCCATCTCCGGTGCGGGTAATGAAAGAATTGTCCGATAATTTACCGTGCAATTTTACTATCATCAACCGTTTCGTCGATCGTATGTGACGTGTCCTCTTTGCGAGAAACGATCAATTTGCATCGGGTCTTTCTTCATCTTGATTTTCTATTTTTAAGCAGCTTTTTCATGTTCCTATGCGTTTCATTCACCAATTTCAGACTTGACCTATCGAAACCGTTCGTTGCTCGTTCGTAAAAGTGGAGCAAAAGGTAATTAATCTCTCTAGTAATTACACTTGTAATGAGCCTTGCAAGAAGATGCAAAGCAAGCAGCTGAGCACTTGAAAATGTTCATCATATTCATCGCCTTTCATTCACTGCATATGCTTTATGCAGTGCATTGGAGCAGCAGACTAATTCCCACCACACAACGCTGAAGCTTACAGTGTATGACCATGCGATAATTTTAATTGTTGTTCGTTTTATACTTTCAGCACTCGGGGTGATGATGTTTCATCCATCCATTGACGGTGCATACAATAAATATTAAACGCCAAAATAGCAGGTTGCATAATTTTTCATATTTTCAAACGAGAGTAAGGCACTCACATGTAGCACCTCGTAACCTTAGAGAGCAGTGAGCGAGCGACCGACCGGATGGGGCAAATTGAGACGGCTGCATGCCATTCGGTTCAAATGTAGACGAGCGAGCGAGGAAAGGTGATCTTAATTGTTTGTGTGTCGTGGAAGGAAAAAAATGCCATTTTTCAAAACAGCAAGTATAATTATCGAACACATATATGCAAGCTAAAGACGGGTAAGTTCTTCACCGACCCAGCGCGACCAGAGAAAATTTAATCGATCGAGAAGAATCTACATCCATTCGAAATTATATCCCACCCCGTCTTGGAGTGTAAAAATAAACATAACAAACAATCTTCGAGTAAAAACGTTCAATTCAAGCCATTCCGAATCGTTCAACCTGCAATGATGAGTCAAT